CTGTGTGCGGAATTATCTTCCTTGCATGGGTTGTGCGGCGGCACGACTCCGAAGTACTACAAAGTACAGGCTATTTACTGTACTTCATAATCACAGATTGAATATATGACTCAAATAAGCATTTTCACCGGATATTGTCATCTGAACAAGTAAGTAACAAGTCTGCCACGTTTGTTCTGACCAACTGAGGAAAAAAGCATTACAGTAAATCACGCTACCAATGGTGATTTAATTTTATGCTCCCTTCGAACTGGTTGTCTTTAAAATACAAATCTTTGTAATCCCAGGCTATCTGTAATCAGAAGCACATTTAAAACTGGAATATAATTTAATTTCATGTGTTCATGTTTCATAAACACATAATCCTTTCTGAATTACAATCCGCCATCAAAATGATACATTTAATTATTCCAGCTGTGAGAAAAGGCTATAAACGATCGGCCACCTGCAGGATCCTCACATGCGATAGCCAAGTAGCCGTGACAACTTCTTTATGTTTACAGACGTGACGTAATGACGCAGCAGCATGCTCAAATTTCCCGCGAAAACCTACCCGTACCACTCAAATTAGAAAACATTATTATAAGCTGACCATTGTGAATCAGGCTAAAGTAAGACGATAGTTTTGAACACTGGCTGGTCATGTACTTGCTCAAATATTGATTTCGGATAATTTTTAACCAAAAAAAGTTACGGACTGCAGCTTTAAACAGAGGACTGAGGCCAATTAGGGGCGATGACTTAAAGTGATTTATAATAAGACAAAACAAAAACTAAGCTAAAAATTATGTATATATATTTCTTAATTCACCCCCTCAACAACTGTGTTGAAAACCTGGAGATATGAGGAAACCTAATATAAAAATTATGATTTCTAGACCTGGAAAAGTCATGTAAATTAGTACAATAGTAAAACTCCATGTGTGAATGAATGACTATACTGAATTAAAATGAATATATATTTTTCTATTTATGCCAAACTCTATATAATATTTTATAGAAATTGTGAGTAAAAATATTTTTGACAGTTTTGAATACATGTTACCTGTCAGAAACAGTGATGTCTTGGTGGTGTTTTGGCTAAACCAAGTGAGAACAGATTGTAGTCTGGGTAATTTGTATCTTGAATGATGGCATTGTCCAAATTATAGCAGCAGCTGTGGTTGATGTTGTCAGTGTCCTTGTTCACCCTAAGCATTGGAGCTGTTATCTTTCCTGGAAACGGCAGACTGGGGCAGCGAGGTGTTGAAGTTGTTAGTGACAACAGCAGCCAGTTACTCAACAGCACACATTGTAATGACATATGATGACGGACTGTCTGTGCCGAGTGGGTTGTGGCGCTTCCACTGTTTTATGGGGTATACAGATCCTGTGAATGGAGCTCAGTGTCCTCCACCAAATTCAGCTTATAATTTAAAAGTTACAATGTGTTTATATAGTTTTGGTGATGTACTGTTGTTTTGTTTTGGAAATTGGTCTGCAACAAATACTTGGGGTCTGAACAGTAAATACCATAAAATGAATATTAGTGGAGGCTAAATGGGTTTTTCAGTAAATGGTGCCAAGATCTAGAGTAGGGCAGCTGATGATGATGTGTGCACTATAAAGCTGATATATTTCACAGCTCTCTGGAATACTTCATTCTGATTGGTCGATTATAGCATTCTGTGTTCTAATAACCTTTGTATAATGACTTCTGAACTGTATAATTGACGTTTGTTGTCCCGGGGATCTGATTCTTAAATGGTTTCATGCCTCTCGTATCACTCCTAGCTCTCTTCTTTCTCACATAATAAAATAAGTTCACTCAAATCAACACTTCATTCCTGTTTATTTATTTAGAAGTAGCCATAAAAGAGGAAAACATACAGTCAGCTGGTCATAAATGCAAAATATTCTGGGTTATCTTAGACTCCGCCAGTTCGTGTTGGGGGTCCCAAGGCTGGAATTGGATCAAAAACGTGTAGTAAATACAGTGATGTTGTCAAATATTATTACAATTTAAAATAGCTGTTTTCTATTTTAATATATTTTAAAATGTAAGTTATTCCTGTGGTGGCAAAGCTGAATTTTCAGCATCATTACTCCAGTTTTCAGTGTCACATGATCCTTCCGAAATCTTTTTAATATGCCGATTTGCTGCTTTTAAAAAACATTTTTTTTGATAGAAAGTTCAAGAGAACAGCATTTATTTCAAATAGAAATGTAGGTGTAACAGTGTAAACACCTTTGTTTTCATTTTTTGATTGCATCTCTGCTGAATAAAAGTGTACATTACTTTTAAAAACAATTTTACTGACCCCAAACTTTTGAGTAGTAGCATAAATATCCTAAATATAAATACAATATAAACTAATTTTGGCAAATGAGACTATTTGGCTATTATTTGAACAATTATTTTATATAATGTTTACTTAAAAAGAAAAAAAAAAGGCTTTATTTATAGACATACAGAAGTTAACTAACACTAATAACTAACACTTCTGTTAATCAGATAACCTAGCATGGTTATCATCCAGTAATCTCAGAATGACAAAACATTGGCCTGGTACTAGTAAATATGTATGTACACTCATACTTTCCTCTCACCTTCAGCTTTGGAGATCACTATGAATGGAATAAAGTGACGTCATGTATTCACAACATTCTGAGTGGGCAGCGCTGGATCGAGCACTACGGAGAAATCTCCATCAAAAACTCCAACAGTGAAAAATGCCAGTGTAAAGTCACCTTCATCAAGGTCAGCTGCCTCTGCTTTTGGTCCATTCTGAGAGAAAAATACATTCTGAAATGTTTCATTTTTTGATATTCTTAAGGTTTCTTTACACAAATGTATTGGACCAGTTGCTATTGTGATTCAAACCTGCCACGTTTCACCATCACACGTGACCTAAAACGTGTCAGTCAACTCTTCCTGGCCTTTCAGAGAGCGCCACATTTTTTAGCATCTAATGAGGGATCTGTGAGGCACAGTTGAGATAATTGAACTCAGACACTGAGGTCTTCAAAGACTTCCAGCAGACTTCAAGGACAACGGGTCAGGCTTTACTGAGGGGTGAAGAAAAGACGGAAAGAGATCAGACAGGAGATCAATTAGGGCAAAGGAGAGCAAGATTAAAACAAGAAACGGGACAGAATGAGATTCTACAAAAGTCAGATGATTATTCATGGTTCATTCCCCTCCGGTCTGACTCAATTATGACATCTGCTGGAGATCTCCTCCATCTGACCTTGCTGTTAAATGTCACGGTTCATTATAACGCCACATTAATGATACGTTGATGGTGAATTAATTCTGTGTTTTCACTCATTTGTTTAGTATCAGTATAATTAACCCAGGTGGTCTGGTTTAAATATGTACACATTTCTTTGTTTGGAGGTGCTCTGATCAAACGTGTCTGTGTCCTTCATAGGCAAAGTACTGGAACTCCAGCATGAACGAGGTGGAGGGAGCTGTCACAGATCACAAAGGGAAAGTCGTGCATAAGCTGTTTGGGAAATGGCACGAGGGGATGTACTGCGGCAGCCCACCCTCTGCTACCTGCATCTGGAGGACGAGTAGGAACCAACACACACACACACACACACACACATACAGTCTGCCCTCTTTTTTCTGGTGCCTGCTGGATGATGTATTTCACAGACCATACAGTTGCTAGTGTTTAGTAGTTCTTTATTATTTCAGAAAAACATTTTATCATCAGCTTTTATTTGTGTGTGTTTATGTGGACAGATCCCATGCCTCCTGAGTATGAGCAGTACTACGGTTTCACTAAGTTTGCTATGGAGCTCAATGAACTCGACCCTCTTACCAAACCACTTCTTCCACCCACAGACACCAGACTACGGTTCGACCAGAGGTAAAAACGTACATCTATATTGCCAATGAAAGCTTATATAAAAACGTAACTGGAACTTATTGAACTTAAACTATTGAAAAAAAAAAAGTTGAACATAAAAATAAAGCTAACAGCAATTACACTATACTGTGCTGATAAATATAATGTATTTTTTAAATGATACCAGTTGGTGCAACTTTGGACTAAATCATTTAAAAATGAACTTAAATGAACAATGATAGAATAAATGAAAACTTAAAAAAAAAACTAAATTGAATATTAAAAACTGTTTTGTCCTTGGTTTATAATGTGAAACTAGAGTCAGAATATCCAATGGGCAGTAGATCAAGGTCATTTTAATATTTTTTTTATATTCTATAATAGTATTTATTAATATTTCTAATGCTTTATCATTTTTAATTTTAGATTTTCCTCATTTTTAATCTTTTATTTTTACATTTTTATTTGAATTTTAGTTTAAGTTTTGGTAATTTTGCTATGTGCTTTTGTCATTTTATTATTTTCTGTTTTTAAAAATATTTCTATTTAGCTTTAATTTATTTGTATTTCAGTTTTTAGTTTTAGTAATTTTAGTTTAATTTAACTTTTCGTTAATTTTTTTATCATCTGATATTTATATTTCAGTCTATTTCTTTTTTTTTTTTTAATGTGTTTTTTGAACATTAAAGCATGTCAACATATTCTGTTACACCAAATACACAAAATAATGATCTTTAAAAAAGCATCATATGACCCCTTTAATGTTAGTTTTAATTAACAACATTGCAGTAGATGGTACCACTGCCAAATAAACTGGACAGTTATTAGTACTTTAAAGTTTCAGTATGTCAGAACAAACTAAAATGTGATTATTAAAAATTATATGCCATGAATATGAATTTATTTGAGTGCACACTAATAACAGTGATCTAATTAATATTGATGAGCTAAGCTGTTGCCATTATAAGTTTTGTTATTGTAATTTTACAACTCTCATACTGAAGTGTGACAATTCTTTTGGATATTGTAGAAAAACTATGCTACGAGTAATTTTGACATACATAGTTGGGAGTTATTCTGACATAAATGTGTCACAGCTGATGAGAGCGGACAGAACCTTCAGGGCCACCAGACGATGACATCAATGCATCATTCATGTTATTCAAGGACAAATGAATTTCATATGAGACTGTTTGTGTCTGCAGGTTATTGGAAGAAGGGAACGTTGAATCTGCAGAGGAGCAGAAGCAGAGAATCGAACAGCTGCAGCGAGAGAGACGCAGAGTCCTGGAGGAGAACCACATGACACATCAACCTCGATTCTTCCAGTATGAACGAACTACACTACTTACTGTCTTTTTAGGAAAAATACGTTACACAGCCAAATCCAGTTAGTTGTTAAAACTATTTTCTGCTTTATCACCAACAGGAAGTCCAAAGATGACACCTGGGTGAGCAACAACACTTACTGGGAGTTAAGGAAAGATCCTGGATTCAGTAACCTTGACTGTCCGGTCCTCTGGTAACTCAGAGGCAGCCAACTACATCTGTGCTCACTGTTGCCTGCTCTTATCTGTTCTGGCCAACATTACAGCTTCAAGAGACAACACACACCTTTTAAAGTGAGGTAGAGACTGATAAAGCTGTGAGAGACTGGTGGCTGATTGTTTCAAATAATTCCTTAATATTTATAATTTAATGTCCCAACAGTTCAGTTGCCTTAATATGCTTACATTATGTTGTAGTTTCATTTATGCAAATGGATCCTTTGGAAGTATGAGAAATATGCAATCCTGGCCCAGTTCATATGTGTGTTTTTTTTTATGTGCATTGTAAGTAGCACAAGAAACCAAGAGAAAAACTGTTGGATTGTGGTCCCTTTTGGCTAAATGTAGTACTGCAGGTGACCGCACCTTAAAAAAGACGTATATAGTATGTTGTCAGAACAAAACTGCGTCGTCTACCTCTTAAAATCAAACTGTCGAGGAATTTGATGTATATTAGAATATGAATATAATACATATAATGCCTTATATTAAATTATATACATTTACTTTGCTAGAACTTTCAATTAAATCCAATGTATCGTCACAAAGTATTGTAATTTTACAACCGCCTTTTACTCTGAGACACTTGAATGAACAAAATGTTTGAGGTTCTCAGAAACATTTATATTCATCTTAACTTATTCACAAGACTGACAGATGGCTCAACAATACTGAACATTACCATCACACACGTGAGCCTGGCAGTGTTTTAAAGCTTCTTCCACACGGTTTGACCTGTAACCTGTGCTCATCTCACTACGCACTACGACGAATGATGTTGGGGGACTGGGGTACTTGCGTGTTGATCACTGCAGCGTTTCCTCTTCCTTCAATAAAGTCTCACTTTAAACAAACCCCCTTTTGGAACCTATTTTTTTATTAAAGAGTGTATTTGTGAAGTTTGAGAGTGCAGGGATTCACATTTTCATTTGGTTCAGCCAATGAATGTGGGGCACTGAAGTTTCAGAATTTGTAGTCTGGGATTTTCTGTCATAACAGAAGATGAAGTTATAAATGTACTGCTATGAATCAGTTTGCGTGCAAATGCATCATCCCTGAGCTGTTATTCCTGTAGACTTTTTTGTTGTTGTTGTTGAATTTTTTTAATTGTGGTTGAGGAAAAACCTTGACAACCCACAACATATTTCCTGCTGACATAAACATTGCAACACTGGGTTTTATGAGTCATAGAGTTAAAAAGGAGATTTAAAAGGAGTTAAAAAGGAAAAGGAGATGAAAAAATAGTGGGGCTAATACTATAACTAGATTAAAGCAGCACTATGTAACTTTTTCTGTGTTCAAAATTTGCTAAATGTATATAATGAGCGAGTACATCATGAATTCATCTTCCAAACCGCGTTTTTGTCTTATTCCGAATCACTCCGGTACACTTATAATAAGTACTTATATTTGGACTATTGTAGCCTGGTCGGGTCGTCACCGCTGCGGAGTAACACATAACTGCGTGAATCGCCATAGACATAAACTTAGGAGAAGTAGCTCCGGTTGGAATGTTCTTCCGCGGGATGTGTGCAGTTCTGTTTATTAACCGCTAGAGCGCCAAAAGTTACATAGTGCTGCTTTAAGAGAATTTAATTAAATAATACACAAACCTTTTTGGTTCCAGTAGTAAATATATATTTACTGGGAAAAAAAGTTCATTTAAAAAGGGCAAATGGAGTCAGGTGTTTCAATAAATTGGATAAAAAGAAACTGGGTCTTCACTATACAAATCTGGTTTTCACACTATAGACCTTTTTCTTCGCTTCTCCGTGGAGGGCGCCATAGCGGCGAGTGACTTCCTGTAGGATGCTTCGAACTTCCGTTTAGTAATTGTCATAAATTAGCGGTAATGGCGAATCGTGGAGGCTCTGGGAAATTTTGTGCTGTTAAAAAGTTCCTCGCCATCCACACCCTCAGACAAAACAAGGTAATTGAATATGTCAACATATGTGACTGCTGGCCATTGTTTCATATCATCAATCCAGGAGGTGGCGCTGGTCAACTTCGTAGGATGTGGAACAGAAAAAGTTACATTGTTTACGGTCTTTGTCAAATAGTCTTGATCGTGCTGCCACCGCGAACTAAAGTTGCCGTTGATTGTTGACATCATGGACGTTAAAAGTAAGTAAAACATTACAACCGTCGTTTCAGAGCTGTCCAAATAACTCTGTTAACGCCTAATTAAACGCATCAAGCTGCAACCGGAAGTTCGAAGCATCCTCCATACGCGTACGCGCAAAGCATAATGGGTAATTTCGCGTTCCATGAAAAAGGTCTATAGTTGTTGAAAGTTTGTCATGCTTCAGTTAAATAAACTTCACTTATTTGAAGTTCACCAGGGTTTCTTAAAAAGGAGGGTTTAGAAATAGCTGCCTGTCTAAAGTTTGGCATAGGACTTCTGGAAGAAGGTTTCGTGGACAAATTAGTCAAAACAGTACTTTTGGGTTAAATGAGAGGTGTTACTTTTAAAATAATAATACTCAGTTGTAATGTACAATGAAGGCAGTATATGCTTTGGAGCAGAGGTGTAAAGAGTACCTAAAAACCATACTTGAGTGTAGCAGAAATAAACTGCTGCAGAAAAAGCTAGGTGCATGCAAAATGTAATGTGTAACTGCAACACTCATTTCAAATGTAGTGGAGTAAAGAGTACAGATACTCATTCAAAAATGTAGTGAAGTAAAGAGTAAAAGTTGCTAATATCTTTGATACTCAGTACAACTACAAAGTATCCGAAAAGATACTCAAGTACAGTAACTAATTACATTTACTCCAATACTTTACACCTCTGCTTTGGAGTGATTTTTCTACTTCTGGACCTGGGCAGCATTTCCTAAAAGCAGCCTAAAAAGATTATAGAAACAAATGGCACCATTTTTCTACCTATACTATCTACGTAGGTTAATAATGCTTTTGGGAAACATAACCCAGGATAGTTTAATCTTTTAATTCCATGTGAAAATGTCATTATGTCAGTCTTTGTACTAAAATCCCACAGAAAGTGACCCAAAACGCACAAGTAGGTTGACCAGTGGTCAAAATGGTCAGAAGAAATCAAATGTTTTGGAATGGTCATGTCAAGGTCTTGACCTTATAGAAATGTTGTAAACGGATCTGGAGAGAGCCGTTCTTAGTAGAGAAGATTTGATCCCACTGGACAGTAGGTCAGACTTTTTAGACTTTTTTTAATTGACTGATTTATTCATTTATTTCTGAGACACATTTATCAACTGTAATTCAGATTTTTGTGTTTTTGTTCCACCAGTACTCTTAAATGACTAGTTAGTGTGACAGACTGACATTATCTCTTCCCTCCAGACTGCACCTTCCTACTGTGAGCCACACCAGATACTCAAAGCCCTGCTCGCTTTTACATAAAACTAAATAAATAAACACAGTTTCATGGGATTTGCTTTCCAGAAAGACATATAGGACAAGGTTGAGTTAGATAAAACGATAAGATGTTAAAGACCTGCTGTGACCCAATTAAATCAAATTATTATAACTGTAGTATAACATTTAATTCTCTCAGCGGCAACTTGTAAACAACTTGTTGGACGATTGTAACACCCTCTCTCAAAAGATAAAAAGGCCGATGCTTTGATTGACAACCTGTGCAGCAAATGAAAAATTCTTCGTCTGGGAGTGAGCCAATGAAATTTGCGGGGGCGGGACTAAGCAAAAACACCGAACAACTCTGCGCCTTTGTTGCAGTTGTTGGTAGTAGATGCGACGAGAGCAGGAGACGGTAAGCGCGAGATTTTAATTTACAAGTTTTCTGTTGTCTGCAAAGCTGGTTACTTTAACATTAAGTTAGTCCACTTCTGTCAAAATTGTTACGTTATGAAGAGAAGAAAGGATTACTTAAGTAACTTAAGAAAGGATTGCTTCTATCGCTACATTGTAACGTTACCTTTCGGCATTATGAGACACAGGAATTATTCGGTGTCACAGTGTCAGTGTAATACTAAATTATGTATAGGTATGAGTTAGCTATTGTCAACTACGGAACTATACATCATAATGTTGTTACTGTACAAATACACTGAGTCAAATAAATGTATCGCTGTCAATATGCTTGTTGTATATCACAACTCTAGCGAGACCAGTGTTCTGAAAAAGTGTACGTCCTTAGATGAGAGAAATGTGGTACAGAGATGCCATCTGGGTGTAATACTATGGTACTGAATGATTATATATGATTAATTGTTTACATTTATTTTAAGGTGTCCTTCCAGTGCATTTATACACTTAAGTACTGAGTAATATTAATTAACCTGTACTATAGGTTAATTTATTGTAATTATGTATAATTTACTGTTATTACTGCATTAAGTAGGCTACATGTAATGCAAAACAATGACACTGTAAAATAAAGTAATAATGTGAAATGATATTCCATGGTCCTTCAAAGAATCCCTTGGCATTATGATATGATAACTTGACAATATGATACTTTATGGTAGTTTTTTTGTTTTGTAAGCAATACAACAGTGACAGGAGTACATTTCTTTGAAATGAAATACACTTGTGACAGTTTTGTGTTTTTTCTGCCTGTCAGCATGAAAGATGTTTGCGAAAGCCACTAAGAACCTGGTCTCTGAGATCGACACTGATGGTTCCCTGATCCCAGTGTCCCGTCTGAATGACTCGGATGGTCTGGCTCCCCTGGCCCTGGTCATCAAGAGAAACCGCTACTGGTTTTGGCAACAGCCCAAGTACCTAACATCAGACTTCAAACTAAATGATGTTCTTGTTGGAGATCCCATAAATCCAGGTACAGAGCGACTTTTCTGTCATTCTGTGCGGAAAAGTATATGGTCTGTGATAGCTTGAATTTTTTATTAATCTACCACTTTTAAAGACATATCCCTTGTGAAAAAGAAGTACACATAATTTAAAAAACAGTATTAACTGTGGAAATAATACACTTTAAAAGAATGTCCTTAAGTGTGAACAGAACGTGACATTTTCGGATGTTAATTGCAATTAAATAGAAATATATTTATGTTTAAATTTATATGAAATGCAGTTAGCTGAATTTTAGAGTGCTTTTATGACCCACTTAAGTAGGACTTAAGTGCATCTTTATATGTGATTTCATACTTCTATTGTCTTTGAAATATGGATTTATGGTAAACTAAAATATACTTTAATATAATTTTTATTGAGACTTGTATGTAAAGTTTTTACATATATTTGTAATTACACATTTGTAATAATGAAGTTGCAGTTTAGGGTAACACTTTATTTTAATGTCCTTGTTACACACGTTACATATACTTTCTATTATAAGAACAAAAAATTATGCATTATTACATTTAAGTAACCCTAAGCCAAACCCTAATCCTAGCCCTAACCATATAGTAAGTACATGTAGTTAAATAATATTACTCAGTATTAAATGTATAATTACACTGTAACAAGGACACCTTAAAATAAAGTGTTACCTTATAATCAAGTACTTATTTAGTACTTATTTATCAACACATAAAACAGCACAACAAAAGATATTACATCGATGATTTAAAATGTACTTAAAATAAAACTTTTAATTTGACATTATTACAAAGTGCACTTTAAAAGTGTACTAAAGTGTGTTTTAAGGAACATGTTCTCTTTAGGTACACTTAAATGTCCTTTTATTTCATAATATTATATGCACAAACAGTTTTTTTTATGATTTGGCGTACATTACAAGTGAACATCTCTTTTTCTCAAGGGACTATAGTATCATGTTTTCTCTGTGAAAATTGTTCCCCAAATTGTTTGTGTGTGCAACTCTGTTTAAAATCAGGTGGTTTTGTGTTTAACAAGGTGTTATGTGTTTGGGA